AGGGCTCGCCTGCAGCCTGTCTGCATTTCTCATCTCCAAGCTGCTGCTGAGCCATCCATTTGTGCGAGGAGGAGTCAGCACAGAGCCCTTGTCCCTGGGAGGTGGCTGTGATGTGAGGGTGTTCAAAGTTGCAGAGCTAGGGTCCCCCTCACCGTGCAAAGCCGCTGCGCTGCCTTTTACACTTGCAAGATCAGAGGGTACTCTCGGAAATCCTGGGCCTGGCATCGGGAAAGTGTTTCTGTACAGATAGCTCGTTCTCTTCGGAGACCATTAGCAATGCAAGGTTGACTCTATGGGGGGAGGGGCAATGAACGTATTAGTAGCCCTGCCCGCTCCATTGTGGCACCGGGCTGCACAAGGGGTGGTGCCGAATTAATATCCTGTCTCCTGGAGCTTTCAGAGGAATTTGAACCCCTATCTCTCCGTCAGTACTGGGGGGCGGCAGTGTATGTTCATAATTTTAGGACGAAAGAGGCGGAGACAGGAGGATTGTCAGAGCATGCGGGTCAGTCTAGCCAGTTGGTGAGCCCCTGGTGTAGGGAGGAAACCCCAGAACAAACAATAAGGAGAGATGGCTCAGCAATTAAGAACATTGGCTGCTCTTCAAGAGGACCTGGGTTCAGTTCCCCACGTTCACATGGAGGATCACAGAACATCTGTAATCTCAGTTTCAAGGGACCTGACGCCTTTCTCTGGCTCCCTGGGACACTACCTCCAGGGGCTCTGCTTGCGCTTGTGGTACACATGCGCACATACAGGCAAAACACCTTTGTGTGGGTTTGGAGAGATGGCTCTGAGGTTAAGGTCACCAATTGCTCTTCCACTTGAGTTCAATTCCCAGCACCCACATGGCAGCTCACAACTGTCTGTAATTTCATTTCCAGGGGACTGGGCAATCTCACACAGACAGACATGCAGGCAAAACACTTTTTTTGTTTATAAAATAAAAATAAATAAAATAAGTGCCCACAATTATAACATAAAAACAAGTAAATCTTAAATAAAACGAAGATTGAGAAAGATTCCTGATGTCCACCTCTGGCCTCCAAATGTACCTGTAAACCAGCCCGTGTGTACCCTTGCACACAAACAAACGTGTATGCATGCACACACACAGACACACACACGAGTTTCAGTGAGTATAGGTACCAGGAAGCATGCACCATCCCATGTCCACCATCCAGACATAGAAACTGAGGTAGGACACTTCCCAGTCTTACCAGGCCCTGGTTGATTGACCCTGGAAGCCAGGGCACAGCAGAGGCAAGCCTTATTCAGCCCTGACCTGGATAGCGTTCCTTGACCTTCAACTGTAAGATACTAGCTCTCCCTGGGTTCAGTTGCTCTTGCCTGTGTACCTTTTTCATCCTTCTAACCTAAAAGAATATGGGAAATAGGATTCTTTCTACTGTTCAGAGAAGACGTCTTGGTCTTCCTATGGCGATGTAGGTCTGGAGGCAACAAGACTGGGCTCCATGGTGGGTAGCCCAGCACCAGCCTGCCAGTTCATTCTGTCTTCCTCTAGACGCCCAGAGTTGGACATAGAGAGCAGAGGAAAGTCTGCTCATCCCCCAATGGGAGGCTCTGGTAACTTCCATGTCCCCATCTGGGACACTAATTTTCACCGGGGATGAATCTATTCAAACGATCTTCTATTGTACTACAAGAGAGAGAGAGAGAGCAGCCTGGAGTCTGAGGCCATTTCTTTGGCACACTCCTCGTGTCTACCCACCTGCCCCTCCTCCTCATGTCCCCCAACACCCATGTCCCCTCCCTCCTGAGTTTCTGGAGAGCTCTGTCTCAGCCTCTGATCTCCAACTGACTTCTTCTTATACCACCAGGAGGATCTCATGTGAACCTGTAGGCTCTTCTAGAGGACCCACCCTCCCTTCCCTTCTTGCTGCAGCTGCTCACAGGCTATGCTGGGAGCGGCAGCTTTTGGAGGCCTTAGCTCTGAGACCTTGGGCTGGACTCCTGACGTCTCTGAACAGTGTATTTGCTTATCAGAGGGTTGGACACATGGAAACCTGGTGTTTCTTGTCTCTCCCCCACTGCTGACTCCACCCACCCCCATCTGCTGAGGGGTCACTTCCTGAACCAGTGGGCCAGAGAAGTTACCACACCTGCCTAGGCTATGGCCACCGCTGCCATCCCATTCTTTCACTGTGGCCCATACTGCCTGGACAAGATATTCTGTTTGGTGCTGGGTATATGAGGGGCGCCAGTCAGGCCCGGCCTGTCACTTTCTCAATAGGGTTTCTATTCACTACCTATAACTTTGCCTTAGCCCTCTGCATGACCCGGCTGCCTCACTGAGCCCTGCAGTCATTCATGCTGGCTCTCTTGAGTCTGCTGGGCACTCTTGCCTCAGGACCACCTCCCCAGTATTTGGAACTCAAGAGATGTGAGCTGCTGTCTTCTCTACCAGGCTGAAGTTTTCCAGAAGTCACTGCTCCCTGCATAACCTGTGAGCAACCACAAGTGGTAGGAGAGCCAAGAGCTGAGTGGGTTCTGTGTGACCTTGACATTCACCTTCCCTGGGAAACTTCTAACTCCGTCACTTCTCAGTTCTACCTGTCATACTGTGGTCCTAGAGGGAAGCCTGCTGTTCCCTTCTGGGGTCCGTACAGAGCTGAGGGACCCAAAGATAAGTTTGTGTGTGCGTATGTGCAAGCGTATGCCCGTATATGTGCACAGGTTTCAGCTTTCTAACTTTTAAACCTTATGCTTTTCTTAAAATCAGTGATCTGGTCTGGCCTCGGTCCAGTGTTCATCTGCAAGAGGCAGACAGATGCTGATAGAGACAGACAGAGAGACAGGACAAGAGAGTGCAAGAAACGTGCGTGCTAGAAGCCTCAAGTGGCTCTCACATGGCCTGTGGCAAAGGAACACTTGTCCTGGCCACACAAGATCCCTGTCACTGTAGGGATGGAACCATGGAGAAACAGGTTCACAGCGGAACAAGAAAGGCCTAATCCATGCTCTTGCCTTGGCTTTCCTCTGGATGGACTTTCAAAGTCTGCACAACTAACAACAGCTCAGGGTGACAGATAAGTCTGAGTCTGGTCAGCTGGCACACACACACACACACACACACACACACACACACACACATTCAGTGTCACCTTTTCGGGGTGAGGGTCAGCATAGAGGTTTTATTTCCAAGATTCTGTATTCTGGGTCTTATGTTCACTAATGGTCCAGTTGCCTGGCATTCTGATTTCTAGAACTTGTTCCCATACGGTTCAGGTCACCTGTCCTGCTTGTACATAGGACCCTGTGAAACTTCCCCAACCCTTCTGAATCCTTTATAGGCCTGATCTTGCTGAAGGGGGACATTTCCTTCCTGACACCTGCTTCAGAAAGCTAAAACTGAGTGGATGTCTTTGCTTCAGAAGGACTCCAATTGTTCAAAGTGCATCCGAACTATTGAGGTCAGAGTTCAAGCCTTAGTATAGAAGACCCTGAGCCTGCACGAGGCCCTGTAGCTGTCTGAGTGATGAGCATAAAGGATGCTGGGAGCTTTAAGAGGGCCAAGCTTCTGACCTTGTTGCTGGTGACGTTTAGTGCCACTTTAACCTGGCCAGCTCTGAAAACTCACCAGATGGCCCCAGAGCTGCGGTACCGTGGCCCATTCAGACTGGTGCACACAGTGCATCAGGCAGATACTGCTGGCTGTCCTCTGCTGGTTCTGGAGGGGGAGGGGGAAGCTTCCTGGGTGCATATGGGCTCAGCAGCCAATGTCCATGAAGGCTTGCTGGCAGGAGTCACCCCCAACTTTACCCACCGCCTGCACATACATCTCTGAACTCCCGGGTGCTTCATTCTGACAGCCTTAGAACTTGCTTGTCTCCAGATTCTTGGTGAGACACAGCCAGCAAAGTCCAGCCAGGCTTGCGCAACCCACAATCTGCCCGGAAATAGAGAACATTTCCCTCATCGAGGCACAGTGACTAGCAGCAAACTAAAGAATGTCTTTTATTTTTAATAAAATAGTGGAGCATGAAAAATATCATATATTACAGATATACAGAGGCAGGAATTGCCCTCCCCAGCTGGAGACAAACAAAAAGTTTGTCTTGCCAAGTGCTTCGAGACCACGCATGGAAATCATCTGTTTAACAACCGAGAGTCAATAAGCCCTCCGGGTGCTCTCCACCGATCTTCCCCCTCCCCTCTCCTCTCCACAAATCAGTCCCAAGAAGTAGAACACACTGGCTTGGTTTCCATTAAAAAGCCACAAAATGTATCAGGCTGAAGGGTTTTCTGAGGCTTGGGCCTCTTAATTCTTTTGAAAGATGATTTCTTTTGTTGTCTTTTATTTACAACAAAATACTTTTTTCTCTTTTATTTTCATGGGGAAAGGGGGAAAATGTAAAAAAGAAATGTATTGCACACCATTTGAATTTTCCAGTGTTAGGTTGGGGGGGTGTCTATGTTGGAGAGTGATGGCTATGAAGGCTGGGGAGGAGACCCTCTTTAAGGGACCTGCAGGCCTTGGCGTGTAGCGATGGCTCGGGGGTCCCCTTCTTCTGTCCCCCTCCTCAGCCCACCCCTATACAGCAGCCTTGCTGGGAGAGGGAAAGGGGCCCTTGGGTGGCTCATTTGCAAGCCCCCCAAAAAGCTCTTTGGCTTTCAAAGGAGCTATTCGACCCCAAGTTTGTAAGCAGACAGCAAGGCCCGAATACACAGATGTGTGTTTGAGGCCCAAACAAAAGTTTTCTTGAGAGGATGTTTGAATCAATTACGTTACCACACGTCAGTTAAACAAGAGGCTCCTTCTGTAATGAGTGACCCTTCAAGGAGGCAGCAAACAGAGCGGAACCTTTACTTTCAGCGTATCACATCGTTCTGAACTTCAAGGTAGACTTTATATATATATATATACACATATACATAGATACGCATATATATATACTTTTTACTTTGATTTAAACAACAGCCACCCAGCCAAGAAGAGCAGCCCGATTGGGCTCTGTCTGTCCTGTTCTCCCACCCAGCGTTCTTTACACGCAGGCTGAAGGCTGGACAGGAAGCTCATACTTCCCAAGGTGAGTTTTTTGAGGGTGCTGTGCTTTTTTGTAGATCCCGGCACTAGTGACCACACTGGCTGGTTTCCTCCGGCTCTTTCTCTTTAGCCCCCGGCTGCACACATGTTGCCAGGACTGCAGGGTCTTGGAAGTCCAGACCCACACCCCACTGGTGATGCCTACCACCAGGAGCATGGACACTTTGACCATGAAGACCTCCACGGCAGGGATAGAGGTGGTCATCAGACAATCAGGTGTCTTGGTCTGATTGTTCATCTTACACTTGTGCTGGGTGGCCAGCATCTTCCAGTAGTCCATGTTCAGACGTTCATAGAAGTAGCAGGCAATCACACAGGTGGCTGGCACAGTGTAAAGGAGGGAAAAGACCCCGATGCGTACCATGAGCTTCTCCAGCTTGTCTGTGTTCTCCCCACCTGTTTTCATCACCCTCCGGATATGGAATAAAGCCACAAAGCCGGACAGGATGAAGGAAGTGCCGATGACCAGGTAGCAAGCCAGCGGGACCAGCACAAAGCCAGTCAGAGCATTGACATCCATGCTGCCCACGTAACACACACCAGTGAGCTCATCCCCTGCCACCCGGCGCATCACCAGGATCAAGATGGTCTTCACAGCCGGGATGGCCCAGGCTGCCAGGTGAAAGTAGCTGCTGTTGGCTTCAATGGCCTCGTGGCCCCACTTCTTGCCGGCTGCCAGGAACCAAGTGAGGGTGAGAACCACCCACCATAAGGAGCTGGCCATGCCAAAGTAGTAAAGTACCAAGAAGACTAAAGTACAGCCAGTGCTTTCCAGACCCTCCTGGATAACATACAGTTGTCCACTGTCCCTGTCGCAGGCGATGCTCTCAGCGCCAGCAAAGAGTCGAATGATATAGCCCACCGAATAGACGCAGTAGCACATGGAGAGGAAGATGATGGGACGTTCGGGGTACTTGAAGCGCGATGGGTCAATGAGGAAGGTGAGCACGGTAAAGGCGCTGGAGAAGAAGCACAGCACCGACCAGATGGCCAGCCAGATCACAGCAAAGCGCTTGTCTTCGCGGCTCCAGTACACATCCACCCCCGGAGTGCACAGAGGCGCACAGGACTCGCTTTTCTCCACGTGGTGGAACTTGCCCGGGTTGTCACAGCCTGCGCGCCCGGGACCCCCGTCCTTTAGCGGGTGTTCTTGCGCGCTGTGTGGCCTCTGGGGCCTGAAGAGTGGAGGGAACATGCCAGAGCCCCGGCTGGGCTCGTCTGAGCCGTTGTTGGGTGCCTCCATGCACAGATAGTTGGGGTCGTTCTTGTTGGGGAGCTTGCTGCAGTCCAGGGAGTCCGGCCACTTGAATTTGAACTGCTCCATGATCGGTGAGCACTTGAGCCGGGCCTGCTCACACATGACCCGGCAAGCGGGGATGGGCGTGGAGACCTGCTCAGTACACATGGGCGCATACAGCGAGCACAGGAAGAAGCGGAGGTGGCTGTGGCAGCCGTACTCCACGAGCGGCGCAAACTCGTGCAGTTGAATAGCCGCCTCACGCTGGTTCTCGTGGCCCATCAGGTTGGGCATGCGGGTGGTGTTGTAGCCGATGTCCTTACACATGGGAATCTCCACTGGCTGACACTTGCCGTCTCCAGGGCGCTCCAAGTCCATGGAGCTGATGGCTGCGCACGAGCCCATCATCACCTGCAGCACCAGCCACAGGCGCGGGCCCGGGTGCTGCATGGTGGCGCCCGCGGTATCCCCGCGCCGCTCAGGGCCGCCGCTCCCGGGCACGGGCTGCTGCTGCTGCTGCCCGTGGCTCCGCGCCCCGGCTCGGGCCCCCGCGCATGCCCGTCCAGTCTGGCCCGAGCGCTCGCGGCGCCCGGGGCCCCCGCGGTGAGCGCGCGGCCTCGGCCGAGTCCGGGGCGGCGGGGGAGGGGAGCGAAGTTTGCAAACAATACGGCGGAGCGAGCGCAGCTCAGTGCGCAAACTTTGGCCTCTTCTTCCGGGCGCGCGCGTTCGGGGACCGCGATGGGGAAGCGCGGGCGCACCGTGGTCCCGAGTTCAGGCGCTCCTCCCTCCCGTCCCCGGCAGCTGTTTCTATCTGGGCGTCCCGGGATGAGAAGACTTGCTAGAAGCAAAGAGGGAGGAAAGGGGGAAAAAAGCCGATTGGTGACAGGCCCCGCCCCTGCTCGCCGCCCGCCGCCCCGCCCCGCCCCGGCGCTGCTTTGCATCAGAAAGCCTTGCGCCCCGGGCAGCCTCCGCCCTCAGCCCCGACTCCGGGCTGGACCCCAACCTCCAGCTTCACCTCCTGCCGGCCTCTCCGCCTGCGCTCTCTATCCAGGGTGGGGGGCCCCTCGGGATTATCCCCGGTACCCCAAGGACGCCGAGGTTACGGGAAGTTTGGATACTGGCGGGGACCCGGGTAAGGGTGGTCCTCACCCGGGGCTGGGGGCTGGGGACGCATCTTCTACTTTTATGATGGGTCCCTGGCGGAGGGCACTTTCAAAGAGACAAGGGATTTGCGTTTTATAACCGTGCTCATAAAGTGGCCCTCGGCTTGTAAAGCTGCCCGCATCAACCCGAGGCCCGGGGTTTGCTGCCCGGGGCGCGGGGCTCGGGCTCCGGGGAGGGGCTGCCTTTGAAATTTCAAAAGGGCCGAACGCTGGGGAGGGGGAGGGGATCTGAGAAGCCGGAGTTTAGGGCCTCTACTGCAAGGTTTACTCAAAGAAAGAGGGGAGGGGATGGGGAGGAGACTTTCCGGGCCGCTGACACCCAGTACCCCGGGAAGAGGGCCTCGACTTAAATCGTGGTGACCCCTGCCCCTCCAAGGCCACCGTGTTGGGGCCATCGCGCTAGGTCTGTTCGTGGTTTCTCCAAGCGGTTGGGTTTATTTATTATAGGAAGTCGAGTATTTATATTATTTGGCGAGAGATGTGCCTGGCCTGCGCCCTCCTGGGAGGCGGAGGTTGGGCCCCGGCCTACGCGCGCACCGCTGGTTCCCACGCAGCCTCTGCGTCTTGCGGTGCTGGCTCCCGCCCCTTGGGTTTGGGCTAGTCTGTGATAAGGACACAGAGTTTCCACGTCCTTCTCCCGTATAGGGAGTGCACCGTGGGAGCCCACCTCAATCCTTGGATGTCTGAGAGTACTGGGGTGCGGCACCTGTCGCAGACTCTTGACCTTGGATAAATGGCGCCTTGGGTGGTGCCCTACTCTCTGGACGACACCCCCCCCCCATCTAGGTCGGCGTTTGAAGTGTTTTGGAAAATACCAGGACCTCCAGTGCGGACTCCCCCAACTGCACAGGGACAGCTAAGCCTCCTGCTGCTCTTCTTTCTCCCCGTCCTGCGCACCCCAGGGCCAAGTTAGGTGCGCACGCGACTGGAAGCCCTCGGTGGCCAGCTGCCTCCAGCAGCCAAGCTAAGAGCGAGAGTGCCCAGGACCCCTCCTCCCAGCCCAGCCCTGCGCTTCCTCCCGAAGATCGGCTTCTAATTAAAACGAAAGGAGTCAGCGTCCCATCTGTAGGAAACCCGGGGAGTTTTCTTTCCTTCCCCATCTGATTTGTGAGACATTATGGACAGAGCTGAGGCTGGGACAAGACTAGGACCCCTGGATCCTCCGGGGCAGGCTCCTGGCCCCACCTTCGGATCACCAGGTCCCTTTGCATTTCACGGGAGTCGCTGTGGGAGGAAGTTGGGTCCAGAGAAACAATGGTCCGGAGGGCTGAGGTTAACGCAGTCAGAACAGCTACCCACCACCGTGTTAGTGACCCAAGAAAAACCCGATGTGTGGTGAGAGTTTGCAACTTGTACAAGAATAGCTTGCTTGGACATTTATAGTCTATCTAGTAAGCTGTTTTTAAAATCTTTTCAGTTAGGTGAGATTCCTGGCCCATCGCTCAGCTTTAAGACAGGATTACAAGAGGTCCTTCCTGACGCTTTTGCCTTCTGTTCTATTTTTTTATTCCCCTCGTGGGGGGGGGGGCGTGAAAGACGCCAGGGTGAGTTCAGCTCCGGAGCAGGGTGTGAGCTGTTTGAGGCAGCCCCACGTTATTGGTCTTTTTATGCTCTGGTTACTTCTACAGTATTCAGGCCTATTCTTTTAGCCATGACCACTTCACGTTGCTTTCTTCTCCCCACCCCCTTTAAATATATTAAGAAGAAAAAACCTAACAATTTCTTCCGTCCGCCCAACCCAGAGAAAAAGCAACAAATACACACGAGTATCTAAAAATAAGGGCCCTGAGATATCGAGAGTGGAAGACAACTCTCAACTAATAAATGAAAGGACCCTTTTGATGGCTCCAGCTGAAAAGATATTTTATTTTTCTCTCTCCTGTGTGTGGGATTTGAGATGAGTGACTCTGGAGCAGCCGGGTCCCCTGCTGCTCAGCCCTGGCTCGGAAACTGGCCCCCCTCTGGCAAGCGTTCTGGAGAGCTGGGAGGAATTTTATGGCTGTCTTTCTCCCCTCAGCTCTTTTTTTCTTTTGTCTTCTTTGAAGAACGACTTTAGACATTTTATTTACATATTTAACCAGGGATAAAAGAGGGAAGGGAAAGCTTTGGGGGCTGGCCTGGGAATAGGGCTATGTTTAAATTAATGGGAATCTTATTAGGCTTCTAAAATTTTGAGCAAGGATTTTTAATGAAACTTTGTAATTAAACACGATTTTTAAAATAACATCCTAAAGCGAAGGATACTTTTGGCCCCAAATCTCCTTATATATCTACATTTTTAAAAAGCTCAGAATACCGTCTGTCGATAGTCTTAAAGTCCTTGTGACTGTCACCCAAGGAGAATACGAGGAATACTCTTAAGATCCATGAATACTCTTAAGATCCACGCAGTGTCTTGAGCTAAATAAATTTGGAAGTGGCGGGGAGTTAAAAGGAAGGCCCTGTTTCATTCCACTTAAACTAGCAAAGTTAGAAGTTAAAAAAAAAAAAGTGCACCGCCACTGGTCTCACTAGCAATCACAGCTGCAACCTTCCTTAGTAGGTCGAGTGAAGGGAACCATAAACTCTTGAGAGGTTTTCTGAAATGGGATTAGAGAGGACCCAAATAATCTCTTTAAGAAAAAAAAATAGCGCGCCTCCTACAATAAAGAGAAATTAAGACAGAAGCTTAACCTGTTACAAGCTAATTGCAAAGTAAACGTGTGGGATACGAACCGAGGTAATAAAAAGACACTAACATCCTGTCTACCAGCTTAAAGATGGGCTATGTGTCTGGTTCCTTAAAGTTGATCTTGGTAGCTTCGCCTTGACAGACCTTTTTTTCTGGAAACTTCCTATTTGGGGATCCAATTGGAAAACTCTTGAGAGCTCTGTTTGCATTTCCAAACTGTTCCTTAAAGGAAGGAGCGTGGTCCCACTCATAGAGAAGTCAATTTTCCAACCAACTGGGCTTAGGCCCACCCTTCTCGCCTATTTTCTTTTTTCTTCATAGAAAATACCTTTAAGTCACCCTAGGTGATATTTAGTTAACACGCACAAACACATGCGCAAGCAAGCAAGCATAAACACACACACCTAATACCACAAAAGGAGTGCAGGTAGCCCCAAACTTAAGGACAGGTTTTAATTACATGTCAGGACACCGTTTGTAAGATACTGGGTGGGTGGGGGCGATGAGGCGCAAAGAGAAAAAAGCCCTCAGCCCTCGGCATCATAAAATGCATGAAGGAGTGTCCCGGCCGCTGCAGAACAATTTAGGCCGCTATTTTAAGGCCACTTCCCTTGAAATGTGGATTGAAATATTACCAGAGGTTCGCGGGGCGCTTTCGTGTGAATTGCAAATCAAGCCTCGCTTTAATCCTCTTTCAAGGCCCGGCCTTGGATCGCTGGCGTCGCCCGGCTCCCCACTGCTTCTGGCGCAGAAGGGACCATTCAAGGGGGCAGCTCCCCTCCTCTGTTCCCACACTCCAAAAAACAACACCGCAGACAGACACCCTCCAACTAAATTAGATTAAACTCCTACTCTTCCACAGCGCATTAGCCTTTTTACAGCCCGGCTCTGCCGGTCGCTCCTCCCTGTTTAAAGACACAGCGCAGTTTTTTTCCATCTCGGGCCACCTCCTCACAGGCGTGTGGGGGGGGGGGGTGAATATCTTTAAAAGGTGTGAAGTACACCAGGCTAAATTATTTCGATTGCAAGAGAGACCTCTGTGTAAAACACAGGCAGACCCTCGTGTGCCGGCTCCGGGACTTTCATGGACCCACCCTGTGAGAAACTTAAACCTAGTATATGTTGATCTTTAAAAAAAAAAAATAAGATAAATAAAATTTAGAGAAATCCATTACAAAAACGAAGCAGGCAAGTACGTGATTCTGTTCTGTGTTAATGTTCCAGAGGACACCAGAAGAAAAATGGCTGAAATGAACCCTCACGCTTTCCTCCCTGGGTACCTTGGATTCTGCTTGTGAGGCCTCAGTCCCTCTGACCAATGCCTTTGTCTACCACCCCGGTAACATCTGTTTCTTTCCGCGTTCCTCATGGCCGGTCCACACGACCTTGGTTACCCTAGCCAGGAGACTGGTCCATCATCCCAGGCTTCTCCTCTTTGCATGGGTGAGGGAGGCCACCAGGATGACACAGTAAAGCTGTCTTTTCAGGGGCAAAGCTGGGACAACCTCAAGTTCTGGCTGCCATCACTGGATCTGAAAACCCTTCCACCACTTTCTGGAGCAATGGTTCTCAACCTGTGGGGGTTGATCCCTTTGGGGGGTCAAACAATCCTTTCACAGGGATCATCTATCAGACTTTGCATTAGGATTCATAACAGTAGCAAAATTACAGTTATGAAGTAGTAACAAAATAATTTTATGGTTGGAGGGTCACCACAATGTGAGGAACTGTATTAAAGGGTCACAGCATTGAGAAGGTTGAGAACTACGCTGTTCTGGAGCCACGTGATCAGGGCTGAACTATTTCCAGGCCCTGGTTTTCTCACCTGAGAAATAGGACCTCACCTAGTAAAGACAGTCACAAGGCTGTTTCCACAATACAATGCCAGTGTATTATGGGATGTGACATTTTTCTTGGGTGGGGTATTGTGAAGCCTGGGGACCATAGTAAATCCAACCCAAGCATCCCTCATAGTTAATCTCGATTGTCAACTCCCTAGGACCCAGAATTACCTAGAAGACCCTGTCCGTCTCTTCTGTGAGGGAATCTCTAGATTAGGTTAACTGAGGCTGGGAGACCCACTGTGGGCAGCACCATCCCCTAGGACTGAATAAAATGGTGAAAGTGAGCTGAGCACCAGCATCCATCTCTCTCTGCTTCCTGACTGTGGAGGCCATGTGACCAGCTGCCTCATGCACCTGCTACCATGACCTCCACCATGATGGACTATACCCTCACTGTGTGAGCCAAAATAAACCCTTTCTTCCTTAAGTTGCTTCCTGTCAATTAGCTTGTCACAGAAAATTAATAGTAAGACAGAATCCAAAGAAACGATCTAAAAGTCAAATGAGTCACCTGATAGTGAGCCTGTGACATGTTCAGATACTGAGCTTCTGGGGCCAATCAAGTTACTTGATCATACAGGAACTGTGACGCAAGATGAGGAAAGAATTCCCATCTCAGAGATGGGAAACTGAGGCCCTGGGGTCCCGTTATAACTGTGACCTGAGAGACACTATCTGGTTCAGGGGTCCTGGGTGGCACCTGTCTCCCAATAGCCAGGAAATGTCAGCCTACGGTTGGGACTTTCAGAAACATATTAGGTATGTTTACAAGGTCAAACAGAGATATATTTGAGAGAGCTAGATCACCTTCAAACACTTCAGAGATCTACAGAATATGGCATTTAAGGTGTTTTAATAACAGTTCTTTTTTAAATGACAACGAGACATGCCTACTCCTGGCAGCGCCAGTTCACTTCAGAGAAGATGATGGACATCGAAGAAACGCCACATGGAGTTTATTTTCTGCATGGTAAAAGTAAGTCTCTGGGCAAGAAGGTGCTTTTGCTTTCATTGCTGTCACCCTTCCACCTAATGGAGAAGCGTCTGTGTTCTATGTGTTCTACGGTCTCTTTGAAGGGGGTGTCCAAAGTCAGGGATTACAGGGGAAAGATGTTCTCTTATGACCTCAGCTGTGGAATCTCAGACTGGTTACTTAACCTCTCTGATCTACTTTCTGTTTCTCTGCTTTAAAATGAGGGTAATAATGTCTTTTTTTTTTTTTTTGATTTTTTTGAGGCAGGGTTTTCTCTGTGTAGCTTTGGAAGCTGTCCTGGGGAACGCACTTTGTAGATCGGGCTGGCCTCAAACTCCTAGAGATCCACCTGCTTCTGCCACTCAAGTGCTGGGATTAAAGGCGTGTGCCACCACCACCCATCTTAATAATTTCAATTTTGTAAGATTTAGGGTAGAGTGAAGTCAGGAAGCTACAAGGAAGTCCTCTAGAAGCAGGCCAGTTGGGATTCACTGGCCAGCTGACTCCCTGGAAGACTGACTTAGTTTTGTTTGTTTCCTTGTTTGTTTTTGGTTTTTTAAATGTGTGTGTCTTTGCCTGCAGGTATGCCTGTACCATGTGCCTGCCTACCTGGTGACTGGGGAGGCCAGAAGAGGTCATCAGATCCCCTGGAACTGAAGTTACAGGTGGTTGTGAGCCACCATGTGGGATGCTGGGAAACTGAACCTTTGTCCTTGACAAGAAAAGCCAGGTATCAGCTGAGCCATCTCTCTCTCTCTCTCTCTCT